GAAGTGGCTATGAATCCTTCCGGGACCTGAACTGGTCCAACTGGTACATTCTGAACTGGAACCCCCTCCTGAAGGTCCGCCTGAGGTTCTACAACAGGTGCAGCTGCTCGAGCTCTGGACTGAACTCTACCTCGGCCTCTGCCTCGACCTTTGGCATGACCTCGGCCTCGACCTCTACCCCTGTCCATAGTTGCCACCGGGGGCTTTGGTCCCTGTCCATCGGTAGATGTATTACGTGTTTTCACCATCTGCGATAGAATAAGAGTAGAATGGTTCAATCATCGATGATAGAATAAAATCGCACGACAAAATAAGAAAGAAGTGATATTGTTCCTAAACTTCATAGCCTCTGAGAGATAAGTACAGACATCTCCGTACCGATCCTTCAGACTCTACTAAGCTTGCTCGTGACTCATGAGACCTATGTAACCTAGTGCTCTGATACCAACTGTCACGACCCGAAATTCCCACCTTCGGACCGTGATGGCGCCTAACATTTCACTTGCTAGGCAAGCCAACGTTAGAATAATATTATCCATTTTAAAATAATTTTTAAATTTATTAATAACCAAGAAACAAATGCAGAAGTAAAGCCTGAAATGTAGTGAATAATCTATAAAAAAAATAACGGTGTCTAAATACCATCCCAGAATTGGTGTCACAAGTGCACGAGCTTCTAGAATAATACAAATAAAGGTCTGAATAAAATAAAGCTGTCTGGAAACAAACACATAGCTAAAGTAAAATAGACGGGGACTTCAGAACTGCAGACGCCGTGCAGTTATACCTCAAGTCTCCTCTGGTAGCTGAAATCCGAGCAAGTCTATGGTACGGCGCTGGGACCAACTCCGAAATCTGTACAAGAAGTGCAGAGTGTAGTATGAGTACACCCGACCCCATGTACCGGTAAGTGCTGAGCCTAACCTCGACGAAGTAGTGACGAGGCTAAGGCAGGTCACTTACATTAACATGTACGCAATAATAGTAACAACAACAATAATAGAAATAAATCAGGTAACCCATCTTTTTTTATAGTTGAAGCCAACTCAACAGTCATAACCAAATATTATTTCAATCAATTCCATTGCAGCGTGCAACCCGCTCACACAACATATTCATTTTCAACCCTCCAATATATTTATTTATATCAAGTATATATATAGACTTTTAAATAAGTTTGTTGCGGCGAGCAACCCGATCCCCCAATATGGACTTTTAAACAAGTCTGTTGCGGCGTGCAACCCGATCCCCCAATATGGACTTTTAATAAGTCTGTTGCAGTGTGCAACCCGATCCCCCAATATGGACTTTTAATAAGTCTGTTGCGGCGTACAACCCGATCCCCCAATATGGACTTTTAATAAGTCTGTTGCGGCGTACAACCCGATCCCCCAATATATTCATTTCAATCAATCTTGTTGCGGCGTGCAACCCGCTCCTCCAATATATCCATTTACCAATGCTTATAGAAGAAATTGTCCCAATAAATGTAACAATTAATATAAAATTTTTAAAACAACAAGCATACAATAATTATGATTTAGTTATGAAACAAACAAAGACAAATAGCAATTTATTATGGAAATCAGGGAGAGAATAGGCAGTTTACTATTTAATATACTAAATGTCAAGTAGCAATTAATGCACATAAATCAAATCAGCATGTAGCAATTATTGCAGGAATTCAAGAATTAATATTTAACAAAGAATAGGAGAGAAACAATTATCATAACAATTAATTCGTGTATTAAAACAAATTTAGGATTTTTAAATAATTATGCAAATAATTAATTTGACGACGTATAGACACTCGTCACCTCGCCTATACGTCGTTCACATGCATTTCACATAACAAATAATTTAAGGATTCTATTCCCTCAAGTCAAGGTTAACCACGACACTTACCTCGCTTTGTAAATTCCAATAATTTATTCGACCACAGCTTTTCCTTTTGAATTTGTCTCCAAAAGCGTCAAATCTATTCACAAATAATTCGATATACTCTATACGAATTATAGAAATTAATCCATATGAATTTACTTATTTTTCGGATAAAAATCTAAAATTCATTTAAATATTCGTTAGTGGGACACACGTCTCAAATCCCATAAAAACTCGCGAAATCCGAACACGCGTTCGCTACGAGTTCAACCATACAAAAATTATCTAATTCCGATGTCAAATGGACCTTCAAATCTTAAATTTTTGTTTTTGGAAGATTTTATAAAAATCTAATGTTTCTTCCATAAATTCACGGAATCATGATGTAAATGAGTATGGAATCATGAAATATAATCAATATAGGATAAGGAAAATGGTTGAAAATGGGACGAATCTCATTTCCAGAACTTAAGTTTTGTTTCTCGGATTTTTACCTTATGCGATCGCGTACAATGCTTCGCGATCGCGAAGCACATTTTTGGTTGTCCAGCTTTTTGCTCTTCGCGAACGCGTAAAACACCACGGGAACGCAATGCTTTGACTCACAGACTTACGCGATCGCGAACGACCTCACGCGATCGCGATGAGTAAAGCGCGTGGCTCAGCTTTAGCCTCTTTCACTCAACGCGAACGCGACCTTGGCCACGCGTTCGCGAAGCACAACTTCATACCCCTACGCGATCGCGTCCTCAAATTCGTGAACGCGAAGAACAACTTTGGCTGGCCTCTTAGATTTCCTTACGCGATCGCGATGAGTAAAATTTCTGCAACAAAACACTAGAAATCTGCCATCTTCCTTAAATCCAAAATGGTCTGTTGAGCATCCGCAACTCACCCGAGCCCTCGGGGCTCCAAATCAAACATGCACACAAGTCCTAAAATATTATACAAACTTGCTCGCGCGATCAAATCGCCAAAATAACACCTATAACTACAAATTGAACACCAAATCGAATGGAATTTTTAAGAAAACTTTAAAACTTATATTTTCACAAACGGACGTCCGAATCACGTCAAATCAATTCCGTTTCTCACCAAATACGACAGACAAGTCATAATATTATAGTGGACCTATACCGAGCTCCGAAATCAAAATACGAACCCGGTGTCAATAAATCCAATATCAGTAACTTATTAAAAATCATTAAGCTTTCAAACTTTTAATTTTTCATCAAAATTCCATATCTCGGGTTAGAGACCTCGGAATTCGATTTCGGGCATACACTCAAGTCCCAAATCACGATACGGACCTACCGGAACTATCAAAACACTGATCCGAGTCTGTTTGCTCAAAATGTTGACCAAAGTCAACTCAGTTGAGTTTTAAAACTCTATTTCACATTTTAATCCATTTTTCACATAAAAACTTTCCAGAAAATTGTACGGACTGCGCACGCAAGTCGATGAGTGATAAATAGTACTTTCGGGATCTTAGAACACATAATTAATTATTAAATTTAAAGATGACACTTTGGGTCATCACAAAACTGTTGAATTTGTCACGAACTCACAACTGCTCCTAACAATATACAATGAATATATAATTATCATACATAAGTAATACAATTCTTGCAACAATTTTGATACATATACAATTATAATACAATCGCGATATATTTCTAGAAAATTGTAATATAATTATGATCTTCATCTTCTAGTTTCAATCACAATTCTACACTAAAAATATAATATAATCATATTATAATTGTATTAGTATTGTAGCGAGTATTATTTTGGGTATTGATGTATCATATACAAGGCATGTATAATAAAGATTTTAGAAAGTAAAAAAAAAAAAAAAAAAAGTGTTTGAAAACATTTGAAATGAAAAGAATCGAAAATTTTTGTGGGGGAAGGGTATAAAAATAAAAGAGAGATTTTGGGTGATTATTAAGAAAGAAAAAAAAATAGAATCTTAAATGTACAAAAATTTTGAAAATGGAGAATGGGTATCGTTTAACTGACAGACTAAAATTAAAGGATCTTGAATTTTATTTTAATTTTTTTATAATTTCGTATATAACTTGTAAATAAAGATATACACAATAATTAATTAAAAAACCTAAATAAAGATGGTAAATAAATTTTTAAAGGTAAAAATCCTCAATATAATCTCAAGCCAAATCCATGTGAATTTACTAATGCGCATTAGTACATCCCAAGAGCCAAGAGCCAAGAGCCAACACACATCATCTAAAACGTGACGCCCCATTTTCGTCATTTTCCAATGTTTCCCCCAAAGCCATAATTAAAGCCTGAAAGGATGGATACCTCTTTGTTCTTATCTGTTTGTTTCTGCCCACAATTTTTCATACTAATCCTCCTCTTGTCCTTTTTCCTCATATCCAAACAACGAACTTTACGATCAAAGATTAATTAATGGTGTAAGCACATACTAATTAGTATCACTGATTTGAATTAACCAGGACTCAATCTACATTAACTGCTTGGAATATCAAAAGTTTTGATTCAAAAGCTTACATATGATACATAACAGTTGTAGATCCAAATCAATAGATCTAATTGATAGGCATAAATGTTGCAACACAATAAAAGCAAACCATAAGCTGAAAAATTAGGATAATAAAATGTTAAATTTTGAAATTGAATTATCAATTAAGTTGATTTATTAGCTTTGAAGTTCATCTTCTCATAATACCGAATCGATAGTAGCGATAGCGAGAGATTGACTTCATCTTTTCCCCATCGAGTGTTCGTAGCGGCGTATTTCAACGACCGAGTAGGCGGCGGAGGAAGGCAAGGCCAGGCAGAAGTTGGAGGAGTCAAAGAAGACGACGATGGAGACGGTGACGGCTTTGAGAGTGGCCAGAGGTAAAGCGAGTAGAGCCTTCGGAAACCGCCGAGAGCCAGGACGACGGCGCGGAGCTGCTGCTGTTGGTTACGGTTGTGCTTTGTGCAGATCAGCTCCCAGAGCCGCTCATCTAGCGCCGTCTGGTTCCACTGCTTGCTAACGCACGCTGCCGTAGCTAACGTGCGCCCGTCCACGTGTTTCAGCACTTCGTACAGCAGATTCTCATCCAACAACACCGCCTCCGCTTCTGCGTCCGACTCTATAATCTCCTCCGTCTTCGTTTTCATCTTCATCTTCATCTTCTTCATGTCACCGTCTCCGGCAGAGGTTGTGCAGGTAGTTTCTCCGGCGTCGAATTGCCGCTTCATCGGCAACTTTTTCTCTTCCTCCGACTCTATAACTTGCTTCATCTTCTTCTTCAACTCACCGCCGCCGGCAAAATTAGCACAATCGGTTTCTCCGCCGTCGAATTGCCGCTTCATTTGATAGATCTGAATGAGGAAATCAAAGGATAAAGGAGCTGGTCTTTTATTCCCTCGATTCGGGTGGGTGGGGTTGAAAGGGGGTGGGGGTGGTTAATGGTGGATTAAAGGGAAGCACATGCTATGGGGCTATAGAGATGATTATCGAAGACACAAAGGAAGGTAATGAATGGGCATTTGGGTGGGCCGAAGAAAATGACAAGTTTGTCCATGTGATTGGTACTGTGTCCTAAGCTTGTCTTTGTCTTTTTATAAAGCTGTTTGTCTGATTCAATAACAATACTTATTAGGCAGAGTATTTGGTCCATTCTTTTGGCTTTTCCCACTTCGTCGAGTGGTTTCGCTATACTTTCTGACGTTGTTCTATTTTCTACTCTGAATTCTAAATTACTTTTCCTTTATTTTCAAAAGTTAAAATTTATTTCAATCAAACTCAATTTAATAATTATTTAATAAAAAACATATAGTCTATATGGTTTATATTACTATCTTTTAAAGTTTTTTATACCTTTGAAATAATTCTAATCATGAGAGTATTTGGTTACATTTATCTCTCTGCAAACATCTCACTCGATTAATATTATACTTAATTAACAACACACTAATAGGAACAAGAAGTGTAAATATAAAATACAATGTAGTAAGAAATAACTTATTATTTTTAAAATATTAAAATAAATTTAATTTGCCAAAACGATAATAATGGAGATCACAAAAAGTACAATGCAAAGAGTTCATAATTTTCAGAAAACGAGATAAAATTTTATATAATATTTTCTGTTAATTAGAAGTTTAGTTTGACTTTTGAAGAGTAATCAAACAAAAAAATTGTGGTGTGAAGATAGTATTTTCTATTCCATTCTACTTTTTTATTTTTGGTCGGAAAAAAATTTATTCAATCAAATATAACTATGTACAGCTGCTAACTCTTTTGGACTCTCGAGCTAGTTTTCCGTATTGATCACGCCCAACTCTAGTCCTAAAAGTGATAAGCGGTCGTTGCAAATATAATCCGGTCTAAGAGTCCGGAGTCGAATCCCACATAGAACTAAGGCTTAACTACTACTGTTGACTATCACTAAGAAGACAAGCTCGAACAATTCCTAAGTTATAAATATAAAGATTCTTATGTTAAACTAATTAACTAACAAATTAATGGAGTGAACTTACAACTAAAGATATTAAGGGGAGGAGACAAGATTAAGGAGGTCTAGAGTTATGATTTCTCCAATTTTCAGAATCCTTCCCGCTACGTCTTCTATAATTTCGCCTAAGTATTCTCTACCGATCGTGAGTACTTTGGGTGTCGTAGCTCTCTCTCGAACAACTACCACAATTTACTAGACATATTCTCTCGAACTACGCTAGCTGGCACTAATTCACCGCTCACTACAATCGCACCAAGGTTTCATTATCTCTAATCCCACATTTAAACCCTCCTTATTGATCTCTCACATACGTTAGCAGTGATGTTGTTCAACAACTACCTAAATGCGTACTCTCTCTCGAGCAATATACACACTAAATAGGCACAATTAATTGATGAACATTCAATCAACAGCAATAAACACGCAGTTGAACAAGTAGAAAAATCCAACGGCTCAATTATATAAAAACATAATGAGAATTCATCCTACAAAAGGTTCTATAAAACCCCTAGATAACGAATTAGTTATTCATAATAGTATGCAAAACTACAATACTAGAATTCATAGCCAATAATAAAATTAGGAAGAAGGAAGTGAAAAACTCGTAGAAGAATTCTCCGCCTTGCTCCTAGTGTGCTCTTGC